CTGCCCGGGAGGTGCCCCTGCGTCGGGGGAGCCGCCGCGATGGCCAGCACCAGGAGCATTGAGCTGGAGCACTTCGAGGAACGGGACAAAAGGCCGCGGCCGGGGTCGCGGAGGGGCGCGCCCAGCTCGTCCGGGGGCAGCAGCAGCTCGGGCCCCAAGGGGAACGGGCTCATCCCCAGCCCGGCGCACAGTGCCCACTGCAGCTTCTACCGCACGCGGACCCTGCAGGCCCTGAGCTCGGAGAAGAAGGCCAAGAAGGCGCGCTTCTACCGGAATGGGGACCGCTACTTCAAGGGCCTGGTGTTTGCCATCTCCAGCGACCGCTTCCGGTCCTTCGATGCGCTCCTCATGGAGCTCACCCGCTCCCTGTCGGACAACGTGAACCTGCCCCAGGGCGTCCGCACCATCTACACCATCGACGGCGGGCTGCGGAGCGCCTTCTGGGCGGCCTTGGGAACCGCAGCTCCTCTGCAGGCTGTGTGTGTGGGCGCGCGCCTACCCCCCCACCCCCGACTTCCCTTGCCCGGGGATTTGGCTTTTTATAAAGGGAAAAAAATCATCCTAGTGTGGTCAGAGGCACATTGAGGCTTTGGCAATGCCTCTTAAAACCGGAGAACTTATTTCTGTTCAAGTGCCAACTGTTTGAAAATGTGACTCTCCTGAGGAGCAGGGTCATCCTCAGTGCTAACGTGGGTGCGTTCAGCGCTCTCTGTGCACCCCGGTGCAGGCACGGGCGTGTCCTAGCGTTCAGGGTCCCGTGGGACCCGCTCTGCTCCGAAGCTGTGGCTGTGAAATGGTCCCTGTTGCCTTTCTTGCTTTGGCTTGCAGCAGAAGTTCCACTAGGTTCATCTTGGCTGCTTCTTAAATCACAGAGCATTTTTAAAAGCACAGGTCCCTGGGCCGCACCTGCAGATGGTCTGGTGTCATTTGAGGGGTGACTTGGCACCTAGTTGTCAAAGCTCCCCAGTTGATCCCAATGAACAGCCAAGACTGAGCATCCCTTTGCACAAGGGTTTTCCACATTGGGTTGGAAATGAGGCGAATCAAGGTCAATCTCTCTGCCTTCCTCCCCCCTGAGAGTAGCTACTTAGAATGACAGACCACTGAGTCAGCATTGGCGTCCCTGGTAAATGAATACTCCTGGCATGTCAATCACACATCACTCCAAGGGACTGCCGGGGTGGGGTGGGTGTGGAGTCCCTGAATTCTTGGCAATATTTCCTCCTCTTTCAGGAAGAACATTGCTGTTTCCAGGTCTAAGTAGCACCCAGAAAGATCGGGCAGGTTCATGTTCATATAGTTAGCACTCATGCTGCTTTATGCAAATGTCACATTCTAGATAGCCATGGCCCTGTTGACATGGCAGGGGAGGGAGCAATATGGCCAGCCAGGTGGTGGTGGTGTCCTTGTGTTATTTTGCTATGCTCTTCTGTCATGTTCTGAAGGCATTACCCCTTGCACAGATGAGGAAACTTAAGCAGCCTGGCTTCTGACATACCACCCACAGCAGAAGTTCGTTCATCCGTCGTTCATCTCTCATAAGTTAACGTTGCCTCACTGAGGTGTCTGGGAAGTGGTGGAGTTTCTCTGTGACCTCACTGTTAGCGCAAGTTCTGTTCTGGCTAGATGACTACCCAGCCAAAACACAGTTGGCCCTTTAGCCTTAGCGTACATTTGCACACATTCGCTTGGTCAATGGTGTCTTTTTTTTTTTTTTTCTTGGAGAGGTGTTTTTTGCTATAGGGTATGTGCGCTTGCCAGAAAGACAGAGAGAGACAGAGAGATAGAAAGCGAGAAGTAGCCCCCCAGGGGGATGGCCACACGGCAATCCCTTCTCCATTCTCCTCTTGGGATCTTGGGCACGCACGCACACACACACACACACACACACACACAGAGTTTAAGCCACTGGTTCTGGGACTCGAACCACGGCTGGCTACATGGGAGTTCAGCGACATAGCCATTATGCTAACTGCTGGTCCCGATGGTGTGTTTTGGTTTTAAAGACTGCTGGAGGAGTTGAAGATCCTGGAGAACAGTATGTGTTAAAAGGGCATCATCACATCTTAGTCACGTTAAATACTTTAACTGAAACCGGCTTTCTGGATGAGCCAGGTCAGAGTAGCAGCCCGCCCCACCCGATCAATTGAGGCAACGCGCATTGTAGAAGCATTTGTTACTCTCATGCCCTTACTGTCCCTGTCATGGTCTCTGGAGGGTCAGCAATTTCCTTCTCTGAAACAATCTTAACAATGTATCTGCTACATAAAGTCAATGTATCCCAAAGATGAATAACATCACAGAAAAGATGATCAAGATGACCGATATGTTCATTCATTGATGAGAGCAGGTATTAAATATATTTAATCTATCCTTGCCCAGAGGGTGCAGAGCTCAGTGGGTCCCATTCCCAAACTGTAGTTTCGACGGCGAATTGATGTTAAGCCACTGGTTCTGGGACTCGAACCACGGCTGGCTACATGGGAGTTCAGCGACATAGCCATTATGCTAACTGCTGGTCCCGATGGTGTGTTTTGGTTTTAAAGACTGCTGGAGGAGTTGAAGATCCTGGAGAACAGTGTGTGTTAAAAGGGCATCATCACATCTTAGTCACGTTAAATACTTTAACTGAAACCGGCTTTCTGGATGAGCCAGGTCAGAGTAGCAGCCCGCCCCACCCGATCAATTGAGGCAACGCGCATTGTAGAAGCATTTGTTACTCTCATGCCCTTACTGTCCCTGTCATGGTCTCTGGAGGGTCAGCAATTTCCTTCTCTGAAACAATCTTAACAATGTATCTGCTACATAAAGTCAATGTATCCCAAAGATGAATAACATCACAGAAAAGATGATCAAGATGACCGATATGTTCATTCATTGATGAGAGCAGGTATTAAATATATTTAATCTATCCTTGCCCAGAGGGTGCAGAGCTCAGTGGGTCCCATTCCCAAACTGTAGTTTCGACGGCGAATTGATGGCTGACAAACTTCCTTTACATTACTTATTCCTAGATTTGGAGATGGATAATTGGGGAAAATAGTAACTATATGTTGAGCCCCATTATACCAAGATAATAAGTAATGATACAATTATAACAAATATTTGCACAACAAATGTTTTTTATGGCCTTGCCCATGCATTTCAAGCAGTTTTTATTATAAAATTACTGCACATGAAGAAAACGTGGGCACTTTGTTGTAATAGAGTTCTTTCTAACAATGAATCTTTGTCTAATTCCTTTCTCATAAGGTTTTTGCCATAAGGCCTGTGTACTAGCCTCAGAGACACACAGGATGTGAGAAAACCTTCTCTCAGGGGCTTTAGCCATGCCACAATCCCTTCTCCTCCATGGGTTTGGGCACACACACACACACACCCCTAGTGTGATTTTCAAGCCACCAGGACCAGGATTGGAATTGCGGTCAGCCATATGGAAGTCCAATACCTTAACCACCATTCCACCTGTTGGTCCAAGATCTTTGACTAATTCTTGAGTTTCCCACAAAATGAGTGTCATCCTATGAAACTTGGAGTTTCGGAGATAATGTGTTTTGTTTGTTTTGTTTTTCTAAAATGTCTTTGAAGAATAAAAAGTGATGACTCAAGACAGCAGGGCATGGATACTCATCCAGAGCCCCACTCCCATTGTACACAAAGGACAAGAGAAATTGGCAGGGCCTTTCCTTATGCCCTTGACTCTGCAGACCACAAGCGTTAGGCGGCACTCCTGGAGCACCACAGCAGACCATCGGCACCCCTCGGATTGTCTCTCTGTTGCTTTCTCTGCCTTTATTTCTCTAAGTGGGCGCTGTGCATACCCACAGTCTTGCTTCTCCTTAGGGCTGGTGGGGACCTCCTCTCGCGGGAGTTCTGTGACTCAGAGTAGCTGTACAGAGTCAGGTTGTGCTGTCTGAGTCCATCAAGCCTGCTGAGCTCAGAGAGCATCCGTAAGGGCCACTGAGGATGTCCCAATGCCTTGTTCTGAGCTCACTTGTTTGGGGCTGACTCAGAATTCCTAGTCCTGCTTCTGTTCTAGGAGTGTTCGCCCCTTCTGTGCATTTCAGCTGCATTTGTGTGTTGTTTGTTTGTTTTTGCTTTTTGTGGGAGAGGTTTTTGCTATAGGGTGTGTGCACTCGCCAGAAAGACAGAAACAGAGATAGAAAGCAAGAAATCACCCCCCAGGGGAGATGGCCATGCCATGATCCCTTCTCCTCCATTCTCCTCTCGGGACCTTGGGCACGCACGCACATGCGGCCGGCGTGAGTTTAAGCCACCGGTTCCAGGACTCAAACCATGGTCAACTACATAGAGTCCAGTGACATAGCCATTGCACCAACTGCTGGTTCCTCGACTGCATTTGTAAAATGTTGGTGTCCCAGAGAGACACAACCACAGAGAGTGGAAACAGTGCCTGAGCAAGTCAGAGTTCCTGGCTTCTACGGACTCTGGATTCGAGAAAAATTTTGCCTCAGTTCTCTGGCCTCAGTGTCCTTTTCTACAGCTCGAGAGGTGGCCAGGCCAGCTCTCTCGTTCAGGTTTCTCTGTCTAAACGTATGTAGGTTTCTTTGGAGTGGAGGGTGACCTGGCCTGGCTTCCCCTGGGCAGAACCCGCCTTCCCGAAAATGGATGGAATGTCCCACTGCCAAGCAAGGAGCGGGTTGTGTGCCCGATGAAGTCCGTATGGAGATCCAGAGAAATTGACAGCGAGTACCTCTGCCTCTCTCACTCCAAAGTGAAACGCCGTCTGTTTTAATTCTACCCTTTGTTCCTCTGGAAACAGTAAATAAGCTGATTAAATTTTGGGAATGTGAGATAATTTCCATCATTTTGGTAAGTGACGCTTTCATTTCCTCATCAAGTTACTCGAACGCTTAAGAAAAATAAGATACTGGAGACAGCCCCTTAGCCTACTAGTTAAGGGACCTGGATCCCACCAAGCCAACCACAGTTCAAATCCCAGTGCTGGCAGCTTGAAAACTTTATCAGGTGGGTGTGCGTGCCCCAAACCCCAACAGGACAGAGACATAGAGGAGGAGACTGTGGTGTGACCTCTTTACATTGGGGGGAGGTGCTTCGTCCAGTCTCTCTCTCTGGCAAGTGCATGTACCCTCTGGCAATTGAAACAAAGGAAAAAAGAAAAAAGAAAGAAAAGAAAAGAAAGAAGATTCCAAAGAAATCAACTGATGCTTCTTAGGTTCTCTTACTATATCTAGTTTACCGCATCTCGTTTTTGACTTGGTCAATCTCTTCGAAAGTATTAAAGAAACCAATATAGTTACTGAGAGAATTTTTAAGTTAAACCTAGTTCCGTTAGAACCCAGATTTTGCTTAGTTTGTTGGTTTGTTTTTTCTGAAAGGTGTATTTTTATTTTGGGGGGGAGAGGTTTTTGCTATAGGGTGTGTGCACTCACCAGAAAGAC